AAGAGATGCCATTCCTTGCGGAAAATCAAAAGACCAACAAGTACATGGGTCTTAAACTTTGAGTTCTGAAGCACAAATATAGGAAGCAATTCCAATATGATCAACATTTTTCAAATCTGCTTCGATAAAGTATGAACTAAAATATTAGCTGCTTATTTTAGATATTAATTATTAAATATTGCTCTAAATTATGAAATATTGCTCTAATTTTCCACTCCAACAAAATCTCAAATAATTTCCATGCCTTTTTCAATAAATTACTTTCCATAAACCGCAATTTGACATTCTAAATAACAATACTGTTATATTGTTTAGTGTCAACTGCTTTCAATTATTTAGCAACTCAAACTTAATTTAAGACTAATTTTTCTACAAATATTCTATGATGTTTCTGATCAATGTTTCAAATAGTAATTTTGTCTGTTGTGAAGGGAGAACTAGGAAAACATTGTTACACAACTCCTGCAGTTCTTTAACTGGAAATCCAAGCACTTCATGTTTTAAAGCATAACACAGCTGCCACTTTGAAGAAAAGTCAGAGCCAGTTTGGCCAGAAAGGTTGGACACATACAAAGCAAGAAAGTTGGCCATTTTAATCAATATATCACCTGAAAGGGTTAAAGAGCAAGCAGAATTATCTCTTGCTGCTTCTAACAGGTTACCAAATTGCACGCATCATTTCCAGAGACTGCCTGAACAAGCCACATCATAGGACTGAGGGGCTTTCTCTGCAATTTATTTCTGGTTGATAAGGGCTGTTGAAGATACCACGCGTACCAAAACAACAGGAAGTGAGAGTATCTCCCAAACTCTCCTGAGTTCCTCCTACCAGACCTCAGTAACAAGGCAGAAGCAGCCAAATTCAAAACTAAGCAACACAACAAAACACTACAAACCAGAAGAGCTGAAAGACCAGACAACTTAAGGGGGCATCAGACACTGCCACAACCAGAACACACGGGTTTGATACAACTGAATAAAACAACCTCCACCTACACTTTGAACAAACCACTTGCCCTCTCCTCTTTCTCTTTCCAGATCACCTGTTGTTGCTCACAGTACTCTAGACTACTTCATATGCTCAAGATAAAAACATTAATATTAAGCCAAAATGCTAACCCTTCTAATGTTTGGGTTCCCTCCCATTTTTTTCTTCAAAATCCAGGAAGCTGCATCAAAGCAATCTATCCTACAAGAATATGAGGCATGCAAAGTTAACAGTTAAAAAATATCAATACTTAAATTGCTTGAACAGACGCTAGTTACACATGCGTTACGTTGTAGGCTTTGCATTAAATGACGCACAGAGCTCAGGAAGCAACTGATCCTGACATTAGGCATGCAGAAAACTTCATACATAAAAGCAGTGGAAGAGTTTACACCACCACAAAACAACTGAGTTTTCATGATCTGCCAAATTCTGTTGGTCTCATAGGATGCTATGACACTATAGATGGACTGTGATAATTTTTGCTAGAGGGAAAAAAAAAAAAAATCACAAAAAGATAGCTGCACATGACAAACACATGCAAACAGGTCTGCTGAAAAGCCATGTTATGTACAAGTAATGTGAGCTGGTACACTTAATCCCCAACACAGTACCTCAAAGTACAGGTCAAAGTCAACTGTTAATTGAGGAGATGAAAAACTATGCCTCACCTCCTCCCACTTTATAACCTTTAATTATGTATCTCTAAGCATAAAAATACCTCCCCTCCACATTATCATGCTATCTGCAGTGTTTCCTAGATTTAGTTTTAAAGGTCTGAAATAGGTCTTTGCTACACATTTATCTAGAATATCAGTGGCATACAATCAGCTAAGGTAAGTTTCTTATTCTTCATTTTATCAGGCACCAATTTATACTTATGTAGTTAAAAATATACAATCTCTAGCAGGCTAATTTTTTATTGAAATAAATTTTATTTGAAACTTCTATCTTTTGTATGGTATCCAGCCCACCCCAAAGGCTTAAGAAATTTAGCTTATATACTATTAATATATTGATAAAAGAAAGTGGAACATAAACACAAAATTGTTAGATATGTATCTCAACACGACTTCGAGTAACCAAGAAGATTGAACTGAACACTGGTAAAAAAAAATTATAGCACTATCTTAATGAGAGAATCATATCACAGCTTTATCAAGCTACAATGCATGCATGTAAATATTTAGCAAATAGTTCAGAATAGAGATAGAAGAGCTATTCTTGGCGGGGGGGAAGTTCTAGAAGAACAAACAATTTTTTGCTATTAGTTTGGAAACTAACAGTATCTTTAAAGATAGAAAACTAAAGCATTTCATGGAGCAAATGAAAACCAACACCCGAACCATACTGATAGTTTATAATATTCATGCTTCTACATTAAAAACAAACAAACAAACAAACAACCCAAACCTAAACCAAAAAACAACCAACACCTTATTCTCTAAGCAAAATGACTGTAGTACTTGTGGTAACCTCAGTCTAGTCATTTGACAGGTATAAAGATGAAAAAGATAAAAAGAAACTTTGGATGTAGGTTTTCCATACAGAAAGCAGCAACTCTACTGAAGTTGTTCTTGTCCTGGCTTTGCAGACTGGGACTTCACTGGTTGAAAGGAACAGAGCAGGGAAGAGATGGAAAGCTTTCCTACTAAGCAATGACCTTATGTACATACCCATACAAATTTCCTTACAACTTGTCTCCTGCAGTGCATCAACAGATTTTTCTTCCTGGTGTAGTACAAAATTTGCCATAAATAATATCTGGATCAGCCACTACAAAAACTCACACAGAATAATTGTTCTCCAGCGACCATTTTGAACCAGCCCACTCCTATCACCCAATAAACACCAGATTATGTGCTAAACATCAGGCTATCCACAGAAGTCTCTTCTACTCTGAAATGTAAGCTCCTGAAAAAAACCAAAATGACCCTAACAAACTATTAAACCCACCAGCAACAGCTGAACACACAAAGGCTTTAGCGCCCATTCTGCAGGTATTTCCAGGTTGAACATGTTTAAGTTTTTCCCATTTTAAAACCTCAGTTAGGTGAAACTGTAAACTCACTTTAGACAAAGCTGTAAACTCTTTTAGACAAAACATGGACCTTTTCTAGACCTCTCCCAGAAGCTGCTTTAAAGAAAAACTCAAGTTTATTTACTACAGAGCATATGCACCAACGATATGAGAAAGAAAGCATCTGAAGGTCAAAATTAGATCAGTCTAAGATAATAGTAAGAACACTTGCAATATATACACCAGTATAACAGTAAGCATTTTTGCTATTCTCTGAAAAGTAAAAATCCAACTTTTATCAATTATTTTAAGCTTTCAATAGTTTGGCCATTCATTCCAAATGATTCATCTAAACTTTAATGTAATTTTTAATTCCTACCTTCCCTTAGTTTCTCATTAAATATCATTCTACAAACAATCCACCTTTCTCGCACCAAAAAACTGACATTCCTTTGCAAATCCACCACACAGACCAAAAAAACAAGCAGGGCAAGATCTGCGAGCGCTGCCCTCTCTCCACAACTGCTTCAAAGCTAAGGACAGAGATATCAAGCACAGCGACACAATACTGCTCTTAATCAACCTGGGGAAGAGCAATAACAGTATCACTCACCTAAGTATCACACCTCACTCTTGGTATATCTAATGGAGTTTATTACCCTTGCTTTTGGTTTAAAAAAGCACACACAAAACCCACCCACACTAAGCAGAAAGAAATAAGTACTTATTTTTCAATATACTTACCTTGCACCATTATTTCTAACTACTTCCACTGTTTCATCAACAAAATAGCGATCCTTGACATAAGCAAAGATTTCATCACAGATCTCATGAAGTCGGGTGCGATGAGTAAGGGTGGCCAAATACAGAACTGGAATGACAAGTGCCTCTGGAAAACTTTGAAGGTTATGTCTGGCTTTCCTCTCTGATTCCAGTGCTTCCTGATACGTGAGTCCTGGTTTACCTGTGACAGCACAGCTCCACACAAGGCTGTTGCAGAGAATAGTGCGTTCAAAAAAATCACTGAAAAGAAAGAAAGGCAGGAGGGGGAAGAAAGAAAGAAAACAGTTGAGTTCTGACTAACATTTTCAACTTGCTAACAGTTAATACAGCAACAAATTGCAAGTATCTTTTAAAAGTCTAAAATGCAAAACCATTTGGACAAGTTGTAGATAATTAAGGGTTATCTGCCACTTTTCAGCCATGGCAAATTGCTATTATAAAACCAAAGTCTCCTCTCACTACAGACTGTAGTAACAGCGTCAAGATCTAGAAATGCTGCAAACAAATATTCATGTATAAGAAGCCTTATGCATAATAATAATAATAATCACACTGAATTTAATAGGTGTCATATCATACTCACATCCCCCTCCATTTCCATAAATATTTGCAAGAGGAGCGTTTAAAACTGTACAAACATGAAATAACTTTAAGATCACAGAAACATGTTGCAACTTGAGTAAGTTTCAGATTTGAGTGCCTTAACTCACAAATGGAAAGATGGGAAAGGTAAAAAATTAATGTCAAGTAGTTCTCTAAATAGTTTTTATTCCTTCAGTGTTTGTATAGCTCTTAGAAAAAGTACTGAACTATTTTTCCTACAGATTCTTCTTCTCCCTTGTTCCATTAGTAAACATTGATTCTCATCCTTCCATATATTTCCAACTGATGCTAAAATTACATTGTTGTTATGGCTTGCTTGCTAGCTGTTATATTGAAATCAAGAAAGAAGAGCTTTCATTAGTTAATATTTGTCCTTTTTTGACAGGTATCAGAAAAACAGCGGTTTGTTAAAACGCTTTCTAGGTGAAGACGATGAGGTAGCTATTCACAAAACCACGTTAAAACATATGATATACTACTGATCAGTGATTGGACAGCAGAGCAGTCTTTCAATATGCCCCACTTCAGACAGTGCTTCTATTTGCCTTACTTTACAAATCTTAATGGACTAGTACTGATAAGTATGCAACACACAAGATGACAAACTCAGGTTTTCAAATAATTTTTAATAATGGGGTTAGAGAGTTGGACAGTTCACACTGAGTTTTTTCCTGCAAACTCAAGCTGGCAAATGTTCATCAGTGACACTGATGCAGATGACAGTGTTCACTGCAGATGGACAGATGAACCATAACATTTTGTAAATGAAAATGGAAATTCCAAATTGAGGACAATGAAGGGTCTTGGCTCACATAATCCTTTCTGTATGAGCACAGGATTCCTCTGAGTGAGATATGCTTTAGGAATAACATCAGCTGCGAGGAGGGGAAAAGGACAGAAGAGGAAGAGATATATTATCTGAATAATATTTAATAGCTACAAAAATTCAGATTTTTATATCACCTGCATCTACTTAATATATCTGACAGTAATGGATAATCTGGGCTTGCTTACTCTAAACAAGAAAAGGAGAAGAACAAAGCAGGAAGAATAAGATAAATTATTCTTCAGTATATGAAGAACAGATGGCTGTCAGTCATTCACTGTGCATCTTTATTGTGTATTATCTTATAGTTACTAAAACATTTTAAAGAACGGGTTAGACAAAAATCTGTTTTGTGGGTTTGCTTTGGGGTTCTTTGTGAGGTGATCTAATGCATAAAACATGATCTCTTCAGGTCTCTTCCTGCCCTACATTTCAATACTTCTGTATTAGACTGAAAATAATTTTTACGGATGGATATTCAATGGATAAAGTATCAGTTACACAAATCATCATGCAGTTGTATGTATCTACATATATTTTTGTGTCTCACTTACCAAAAAGGTTCTTGATTATTATCTTTAGCCAGGAAAGAGAAAAATGCCCTAAAGAGAAACTATAAAATGTGCCAGAATATAATTTTCAAAAATTATGAAAGTAAAGGGTAAAAAAAAAAGGCGGAGAGAGAGATCAAAGAAGGAGGGAGAGACAGAGGTTGACACTGACAGTGCCCCTTTAAGAGCTGCTGTTATTCTTTGTGAGGGGACATCAGGCAGTCATGCTATTTAAAGCAACAGCACTGAACTTATGGGAGAGAAAAACCTAAAAAAAACCCAAACAAACAAAACAAACAAAAAAACTCCCCAACACCAAACCCCTCTCTAAAAATTTTTAATTCATGATTAAAAGAATCTTAGCAAAATGCTAAGATTACTTTAACTGAAACATATTTGAAGAAAACATGTTCCATTTGCATACAAGAGTAATTTGTGTATCTAGTTTCATTCTCCTTCATTTCCTCTTTTGTTCTGTGTGGATATTTCCCCTGTGAATTTACAGGGAAGAAAAGAAATAGTGTGAGAAGAAATTATATTTGATTTTGAAAGTATTATTTATCTTTAGCTATCATTACCTATAGCACATCAAAATTAACTTGGTTTGAGAGAGAGAAGAAAACAAAATCCCAATAGTATAGATGTTACTGGTAGTACCCTTTCTGTCCCTGTCTCTCTAGTGAATGTCAATTATCACAAAATGATTGACAAAGAGCAGACACAACAGCTACCAAACCAAGAGAATGCTAGCAGCAGCAGTGATACCTTTTCTCTTTACTTCAAGAGTAATAATGCTGTTGATCATATTCTACATTCAACTTAAATTCACAACAGCAAGAGCATCTGCTTCACATCTGAAGCCTTACTTACATCTTCGTCTAGGGTATTACGGTCTTTGGGGCTTCCTTGCTGGTTTAAGATCTCTGTGACTCTTGACAACATGGAGCAAGAAGTTCATAAAAAACATATCCACAAAGTTCACTTGCATCTGCCTGCAAGGAGTCAAATGTGACTGTGACCACCTTGGTGATATCCACATGAGCTCAACTACTCAAGGAGCACGGACTAAAAGCTAAGTTGTCTTTCTAGTAGTAATTAATGCTGACTTCTCAGATGGATGTCTCTTTTCACTTACATTAGTTAGTTTGTCATGCAAGGTAAGGCAAACTGTAAAATTATCAGCAAATCACTGAGTAGTAGTTTAACACTGCTACTCAGTAGGTATTTGACTGGAGCTAGAAATAAATTACTTGCAATGTCTGTGCTGACTGCACTTGCAATGGATACAAAAATCCAGCCTAGAAATTACAGATGTCTTTTGCTTGAACTAACCAAGTATTCCCATTAGGTCCAAGATTTACTGTACTTTTAGTGTGCTTCAAGAACGCTTGTTTCAAACCACTTACTTTCATTCATTTTCTTAGCATATATTAAGAACAATTCATTTAGGGTATCATAGGAGGGTAATAACAGAAGACAAACTTTGCCATTCTGGACCACAGTGTTGTTCTTATACTCTTCATCTCCAGAACTAGTCAAGAATACATATTACAAACAATCCACAAAACAAACAAGCAAAAAACCATGACAAATACATTTATTCCTTAATATTTACAGGTTAATTACACATTAAGGAATATATTTGAAGTTATGAGTTTCTCCTCAAGAAAACAAAAAATCCACCTAATTTAACTAATGACTCTTAGCCTTTTAAACAGATCTCTTTTGACTGTAACCAAGAACTCCACAGGCCAATCGGTAAAGAAGTTTCAGTAAGTTTTGAAGATGCAAAACTGCTCTTCCTCTCCCTCCCATGTTCTAGAATGAGGAACATTCCTACCACTGTATCTATACTACTCATCATTTTCTTTTTCAAACTGTCTTACAAGCAAGACTTCCTACGCATCTATATCCACACATCTATATCAGCTATTAACTTTCACAGACAAGGTGTCAAAGGCTGGTGGTAACATCCCACTGGTTTAATGTGTTTCTCATGCATCCCATATATCTCATGTAGCGCCGTACTTGCTTTTCCTGTTATGGCTCCAGACACTCATTGCTTGTCTGTCCCTCTGACCAGGAATACAACATCAGTTGCCTCAGTTCCCGTTACTCATGATAAATACAACTGAACACTGCCCCTTCACTGCCCTCCTGCTTAGAAAGGGTTACAAAAATACGCAATTGTATTTCAGATTAAAAAGGAAATACATTCTTAACGGGAAAGTCACTTTACAAAATACTAGTCTTGCCAAATTCTTCTCACGTTAGCATAATCATTTCTTATATAGAGAAGAGTAATACTAATGTATGATTTCTATTCATCTCTACTGAAGCTGACACGGGCATGAAAGCAGCTTTTCAACAGTAAGTTTGTATTCTGTTGAAAACCCCCAAACAACCCAACAAAAAAAACAAACAAGAAAACAACTTGAGTCTTAACTGTTTGTACTAATTAAAAGCATTCATACAGTTGATCAAAGGGGTGAATTCAGGTTACCACATGTATCTATACCACCCACCTGATCTAGTCAGACTGTAATTTTTAAATTTTCCTCTCAAAAAGTAGATTCAGAGAAGCCCAATTTAGACAACGGTTTTCTTTCATGAAACAGCTAATACAATTTTTAAGAAGTGGATTCTCCCCATCCTTATTAATCTAATTGCCCTTGCTTAGGCGAAGAAATAGGAAATGCAGTTTTCAGAAGACATTAGCTATGAGCTATCTGCAACCAGCAGAGATGAGGATTAGCATCTTTAAAACTTTCTGAAAAATGACCCTATGTTCTCCAGCAGATTATGCCACAAACAACTAACATGAACCTAAACTTTCTGCCCATCTGCGCTGGAACACTTTGCTAAGTAAAAAATACCACACTCTTCAATCCAAAGCACAAATTTTACCCAACCTAACAAAAAACCCATGAAAGAATTAAAAAGAAAAAAAAAATCAAGAAACATACCACCAAAAAAAACCCCCACCAACCCACCCCACCCCACATACACAAAATACAAGCATAGCAGTTTTCTGCAGTTTTCCCAAATAGTATATTCAAAGGCTTGACCTCTAAGCTAACCACCTACTGATATTTCTAGAGATCGCCTGTGTGACCATGTCTAAATTTACCCCTTAACTCATGAACTTTGGTTAAATAACAAATTTAGTCTTTCATACTTCTTAGTGACAACACCTCTGCAGTATAAATAAGCCTGTCAGAGTACTTAAAATACCAAACCCTTTAAGAACAGAAAAACATTTTAAAAGGATATTTTTAATGTTAAAATTTTAGTACAACTACATATACGTGAAACATATTTCAGCACAGTGTCAAACAACACATGAGAGTCACCTAATTATGTGATAATAGTAATTGTAACCAGAAAAACAGCTTTCAAAATATCAGAAGCTGGGGGAGGGGAACTTAATTCCTATAGAAACAGGAGCCTGTCAGCTCTTCCTTCTTAGGTTCTTCTACGCTCTATAATGAAAATACTCCTTACAAAGCTCCCAACAGCATATTCAACATCCCTCTTCTCCCTTAGAGTATATAGGCCAGGAAACAGTAAGGCATCACCCTTCAAAGTTACCTAATCCAGCTTCGTTAAAATTTTATTAAGCAGAGTGTATTTGAGTAAGAAAAACAAGTCTAAACATGAAAAAGATTTAGGTGTGCTTTAATTTCATAAGCTGCAAATGAAAAGCATTTCAGATTTAATCTCGTTAGTCTGCACATCTTTAAAAAAAACAGAGTTTGGATGCGGGGGCCTTTTTGTAGGTGGGGATGGTGCTGCATGATACCAGAGGTGAAAACATGTAATTTATCGGCTTTGAAAAACGTCTCTCTAAATACTTTCGGTCCATTGTTCTTACAAGCGGTGAAGTGAGCGGCAGCAAGTTCGGGACTACCCGTGCCATCCGCCTTCAACCGTTAACGGGAATTTCACCATTTCCATTGGGCTTTTTTCACACGGAGGAAAAAAAAAAAGGAGGGGCGAAAAAAAAAAAAAAAAAGAAGGGACGGGAAGAGCGATAAAAGCCTCGCTAGAAAGAGAGCTCCTAAAGGGACAGGCGTGCCCGCTTTAGGCCGGGTTTAACTCCCGGCAGTGCCACTCGTCCGCCCGACCGGGGCGGAGGGCTCCGGCTGCGGGACCCCCGGACAGGTGCAGCGACCCCGCGCCCGGGCCGCGCTCCCCGCCGGCCATTTCCAACCGCGTCAGCCGGCGGCTACCCGCGGAGGCGGGGCGAGCGCGGCCCTAAGCTGCGCGGCGGGGCCGACAGCAAGGGGTTAAGCGCAGCGGGAGCCGGCCGGGAAGCCCGGCGGGCCGGGCAGTCGGCGCCCCCCGCCCGGCCGTCACCACAACAATAGGGCGACCGGCACATGCCAGGTGGGCGGGCGGCCCCGTTGCGCCGCCTGGACGCGGGCCCGGCGCGGCCCCTTCCGCGGGGCGGCCTAGAGCCGTCCGCCGCCGACACGCGGCTGCTGGCGGGGGCGGACGGGAGGGAGAGCCCAGGCCCGGCAGACGCTCAGTACCGCCCGCCGCCTCCCGCACGCGCAACTTTCACTTCCCCGGCGGAGGCTAGGGCGACACCGAGGAAGGAGCGGCAGGAAGGGAGGGAAGGAGCCGGTTGCCTTCCTTCCCCGTAGGCGAAGGGGGCTGCGCGGTACCCCCGCCGAGGAGGGACAGGGATTCCCCCTACCTCGGGCGAGAGATCCGCCCTCTCTCCCCCACCCGCCTCGGGAGGGCACAGGCTCGGCGCCAGCCGCGGTCCCCCTCACACCCCCCGGCAGGGCTCCCCGCGGCGTTCCGGGGAATCCCCTTCCCTCTCTCCCCGCCTGCCCAGGTGTCAGAGTCGATGGGGGCTCGAATAGCTCCCTGCCCGCCGCCGCAGCGGGGGGGGTGCACAGGACGGACACAGCGACGCGGACACCGACACGGGGCTGTCGCTTACTCGTAGTTCCTGAAGATCTCGTTAGTGACCCTGCAGTAGAAAACGCGCTCGTCCGGCCGGAGGTCCGCGGGGGGCTTCACCCTCACGAAGGGCTTTCGGTGCAGCAGCGGCATCGCCCCGCTCCCGGCTCTCTTCCTGCCCCAGGATCAGCTTCCGTGGATCGGGGGGGAAATAAAGAAAAGAAAAAACAAAACACAGAGCGGGAGAGTAAGCGAGGCAACGGCGCCCACCGGCCCGGGGAGGAGGGAGGGGGCCCGGCGTGTCCCTCCTCCCGGGGGAGCCGGGTCAGGAGGGAACCAGAGCGACGGCGGCGGCGGCGGAGCCTTTTGTGTGCCCGACACGCCGTTGCCTGCCTGGGACTGCGCGCGGACCAACGGCGGCACCTTCCTCCGCCTCCGCCCGCCTCACAATGGGGCCATGACGCCGAGCGGCGGGCGGAGGCGGCAA